GATCTCCTTGTGCCCTGCAATCACATAAACAATACCATCAACATATAAGCCATTCCTTACCTGCCAGAGCAGCAGTGCTTGTGGCAACAAGACAGTCCTCAGACTCATTCCCTGTCACCCATCCCAGCAATGTCTCTGTCCAGTAGTCTGCTTCACTCTCACACACTGGGATGCCGCCTGCCAACAAATATGGCAATTTCTCTGAATACTGAGAATCGGGCCCAACTCAAGCCACCATTCCATGTGCAGTTCCAGATTTGCTATCATTCTTTCCATGAAATGAAAGTGGAAAACCATATGTGAACGCTCATTTTCCTCATGGAACTATGGAAGTATGTGCATCAGCATGGTACAGACTGTGATATACTCTCAAAAAGGAAGAAAAGTATGGATGGGTACGGCGCTGAAAATCGCAGAGCTGCTGCTGCTGCCTAATGCTGCAAATATGATTGCTGAGCGGCCATTGCTTAGCCAAAGCCGTGCAAAAGTATCCGCAAGCCATGCACAAATCAACAATTTTAACGTATACAGTGGACAAGTTGTCAACCGAAGTTGAAAATCTCACATCAAAAGCAACCATTACAATCTTCTGCCTCCTACAATCGAAACTGAACAAATACAGCAGACTGCAAATCGGACACCACACACAGCCAGAACACATCTGCTGTGGTAGTCTCAAAAGCCAGTGTTTGAGGCATGCAAGTGTGCTCACCGCTAGCCAGAGCGCCTACTACGGGTATTGCTGCACATTTGAGCTGTCCACACCCCTCCTTTGCAATCGTGTGCAGAAGTGGCCAAAGCGTGCTGTTGGCCAGGGCTTTCTGTACACTTGGATCGCCAGTTGCTGCACAGGTAGCCAACGCATTCACAACTGCATGTGCCAAGGAGGGGTCCGACGTAGCAGCACCATCTGCAAGCATGAAGACCAGCGGATTCACCCATTGCTCCATGCTACTGGCACAGTGGGCACCAAGGGCACCCATAATCCTAGAAAAACAAACAACAACCATAAGTCATCAAAACACATAGTTGTAACATAAGCAGTGCACCACAATGTAGTGACACGGTCTAGGAAGCTTGCACAGTTCCCCTCATGATGCGAATAAGATGCATATAATAGGGACTTCTCCATCCGAAAAGGGTGGTTCGGCTTTGACATGAGAGACACATTTCTGGCTGAAACTTCACATCATGTACAAACACACTTTCAACTTGGGGGCTCGAACACAGCGGGTGTGCTCTCGATCTGTGTCCCAGGCAAATCTATCCTTGCTTGGAAGAGCAGGAAAAATACAATAAGGGGCGCCAACACTTCTGGGATCCCAAACAATTTGTTTTGCAGTTTTCCGACACTGATCTTTAGCATGATGGGTCAGTGATGCCACTAGTTCCTTGCACCTAGTCAAGCTAACCATACCGTACAAGGACTACAAAAGCATCATTCAGTGATGAAACACACACAACCTGAGAAGCCACAACTAGCCTGCTGATTAATTGGTGCAGCATGCACACCATCAATGAACAGCCAGGAAGCATTATTAGCAACAACAAATGCACAGAATCCTTTCCATGAATACCTGGCCACTTCGCACTGGAGCAAATGCGACTCTCTGCCCTTCCCTGTCACTTGTCTGACCACATGACAGATTGCATTCACACTCCCAGAGCTGGCAATTCTTCGAGAGTTTACAACAGAGGATTCAGCCCACGAGGCCAGGTACGATGCTGCCACATGCTTCAGTTCCATGGTGTGTTCGCTCTGAAGCTGTGCACATCACGCAGCAGAAAACGAGGATTTACACTCCAGGTATCTGCATGACAAGCTTTGGCCCGCATCGTGAACTTTGGTCTCCAAATAAACTATGCACCATACCAAACTCATGCTTGGAATTTCAGACCAACATTTTGAAGGTTTTTGGGCTGCACTTTCTTGGTCCCTCAGCAGTGCTGGAGCCTCAGTGTGGAAGAAGAGCGCTTAATCTAAAACGACTCTAGCTTGATGAATGCACACTTCTGGGCTGAGAGGGAAAGATACATATTGTTGGATTATTTAACAGACATGAAATGTTACTTGCCCACCCAAAAAATGTTGTAAATCAGGACAGCTATAGAATGCCTATTTTGATAGCCAGTAGTCGAAAATGAAGTACAGCTGTACCAATGGCTTACATCAAAATACCACTTTTGGGCTGTATCACGATAATCATCAGGAAACAAATAAGGCTCAATAAGCGAACTCTCCACTGCAAATATACAGGTTGCACAGATTAATTAATTTTAATTTCACAATGATTTTTTTGATTCATTAAATCCGTTAATGAATTACTAATTCCACAAGCATCGTTGGCACTGCATTGTTTGAGAGCAGGCATGAAGCATGTTACCACACAGAATGACACGGCTTGAATGCCACTTTTGCATGTTCTCGTTGAATGCTGTGCAGAGCCCTGGGACAATTCATGTCAACAGAGCATGTCCATTGTTTGACACCAAATTACATTCCAAGGTGTCAAAAAAATCAGGACAGCAAAGAAATCAAAAGCGCATCAAATGCACACCAGAGGATTTTGTGCCAACATAAATCCTGTCATGAACTCAAGAGGAAACCCGTTTGCCATTCATTTCCCTGTAAATGGTTTCAGATTTGCAAAGAATTGTGCACAGCTGTCAGGCGTCTGTTTGTGATCATTGGCAGCTGAGGCTGCAACTTTGCGCCCTTAGAGCAATACCCATAGGAAAGCGGGTCGACAAGCCACTGCCATGCAAGGGCTGCACATAAACGCTTACAAATTCCAACAAGCCTTCAATGTCATCTGCAGTCACAGCCTTTTGTGAGTGCGCCACTGGCAGGGCAGTGAGTAGAGCTCGAATCAGTGCCTGGCAGTCCGATGAAGTGGCTGCACAATGTAACAGACGCATCACGGCACCTGGTCGTTGGAGGACAGCAGCCGCGGTGGAATCTGTTGCACAAATAGCAACAGCTGTCCTCAGTCCCTGGCTGTGCATTGCAGCCCATGGCATCAATGTGGCTGCCATCCATGGCACTTCGAACGTACCATTGCTCAGCAGGTTGACCATGGTCGCTTCAGCATGAGCCTGCTGCACTGATTCTGGCTCTTCAGTGGCCACTCTCAGCATCCATTCAACCAAAAGTGGGCCACCAATTAGGGGAAGGAGATCCCTGTAGTACGGCTCAGCAGAAAGGCCTGCAAGGATTCTCAAAACCTTTGCCACAATGGACCCTGTGGGCAGAACACTGGCATTGTTGATGTGACTTTTGAAAGTTGTCCAAGGCGCCCGCCTAGTTTGGGTGTTCTCCCAAATCAATCGCAGAGCAAAGGGTGTTGAATGGGGTCTTCAGGCCGTTTGTTACCAATTTCCAAACGCTGTGGCTTGAAGATTGACCCACCTCCCTCAGTGTCATCAACTTCTGCCTTATCGTTTGGCAAAAATGTCGCAGAGACAGTTTGCAGCACTTGCCTTGCTGATTTGATGGCTACCCATTTTCCCTCTCCCTATCCACAACACCAAACAGGAGGTCCATTCCACTGATTTGTCTGTAGCCTTCGAATCCTTGTCAGCAGTGCATCGCAGGGACGACAGCACTGGAAACTGGTAGTTTACTGTTTCATAGCAAGCTGAAAAGCTTCCACTGTTCTTACTACTCAAATTTCTTCAGCCATCACAAATGCAACTGAACCCACAAAAAATTGAAGCATTTCTGCACAACTAGCGAGATCATGTATGTCCACCATCGCCAAGAACGCAACGACTACATCCCGTGACTACAACCACAATCGTACGGCAAGCCCAATCTGCGACCATAGTCGCTTCCCTCGCGCTCTTATGCAGGCTGCGGGCACAAATCGGACATTCCGACAACCTCAATGCGCGGTCACCTGCGACTGCGTCAGATCGGCCTGCGAAGGGGCGCTGTTCGCGAGGGTCGCCACGCAGGCCCCCGTCCCTGCCGCCGTCAGCGCGAGCACGCGCACATGCTTGCGCGACAGCGCCAGCACGCGATTGCGCGCCATTTCACTCCGATGCCATGCCGCGTCACAGGCGGGCCCTTTGCAATCCCGCGGATGTGATCCTCCTTGCAACAAGCCTGCCTTGCCCGCTGCTGCTGGCCGAAGGCTTTCAGAGAGAACGAGGCGAGCAGGGGGAAGGGCGGGTTCCGGGCCCCTGACGCGGCCCCCGACACCGGGCCATAGCCGTTTCCCGACCGTCGGCGAATATCCGGCGAATGTATTCCAGGCACTGGTAGGTATCGAAGCCGACGGGGGCGGCGGGAGCCCTCATGCGCCGCTCTGTTCCTTGGAGCCCCGTGCGGTTTGTGGGATGGCGGCCCCGTCCCCGGCTCGTCATCGACATTGACAGACCAACGACGTTGAGATCGACACAATCCAGCCAGGGAGGCAGCCAGCCTAACCGCTGCTGAAATAGTTCTATCCGCTTGTTACCGCACTGAAAAATGGAATGTCGCTCGTGTGGCATCCACCAATGTACCTCTGCCATGTCAAACGGATGCAGTCCAGGCGCTCCTGCTGCAGAGCCGTAAATGCCAGACCAGCCAATTCCTTAGGCTGATGGGCAATCGAATGCGGTCCCAATCGATGGGAGACACCACGGTCGCCTCCTTACCTGCAGGCGAAACTGGAAACGGCAAGGGAAATGGGGATGGAGTCGCAGTTAGAAGCAGAAACACTCAAGTCAACGTTCGAAGTGGTGGGCCCATGTTCGCCGCCTTACACGGAATGTTTGTCTTATACTTCCTCCGTCCAAGATTAATTGTCCTCTATGATTTTGCCGCCTTACTTCTCCATCACAGATACTTCATTTTTCAATGAAATTGTTGCCAATGGTATGCCTATGTTTCTGGAATATACGGTCAAAATTTTAGGTCAATCCGTTTAGTATTGAGGATTTGGCAGCACTTTGTAGTAGGGTTCTCCCGCCAGAAACCCACCCGTTTTTCAACAAAATCACCGAAACATCCATTTTCACGATGGTGAGGAGCACGACTTTGTGGCAGCCAAACAAGACCGCCCGTGCAAAACTATCCATACCGTTTGGACAGAAGCTTGGAGGGGTCCCTGCTATCAGATTATGAACGGTCAGGACATTTATTACTAGAAATGTAGTGTATGGGTACAATGACAGTACACTAAAGCACCGGTGTGGGTGCCATGACACGGATTCTTTCCGCACCGGTGGCCCGCGAGCTTACCACCGTATTTATGTGGTGAGTGCGGTGTAGTAATGATCCTTTCTCGCGCAAGCAAACTGCGCCCGCGACCCGACCCTGCGACCTCGGCCGACCTGGCCGGCGGAGCCCGCGAGTCCGCCTGTCCCCAAGCATACCGCCACGAGCGCCGTGCCCAGCACGCGCAGTCCGACGATTCGGACCCGGCGGAGGCGGAGCATCGAGCGGCTAACCACCACGCGCATCGGAGGCCCCCTCGCAACAGCGGGGGCCCGAAGGGAGGCCGACAAATTTTGGTTTTGGAGCCCGGATTTTGACGCGCCGAGCGCGTGAAGACGGGCGCTGGGAGCACAGCAACGCAGCCGAACAGAGCGGCTGGCGGGATTCGAGAAAGGAGGCTACATCCAAGGCCGATTGCGGCCCGAGCTGGCTGAGCCGCGAGGACGATTTTCGGTGGGTCAGCGGCTAGAATTTCGCTGAATCGAAGTGCAGACCGGCATGCAGAGTTGCGCCAAGGCTGGCGAAGTGGCAGTGAAGGCCGCTGAGTGCTGAATCGAACGCCATTCCGGGTTCCCACGTTGGGCCCGTTTGAATCGGCGGAGGCTCGGTGGGAATTGGCGGCGGAAAACGCGAGCCGACGCGCGGATTGAACGTGCAGCACCATGGCCGGGCCGAGTGGGACGCATTGAGTGGAAAGGACCACGAGTTTGGGCTCGATTGTGAACGGCGCCAGTGGAAAATTGCGGCGGAAGGTCGATTTTGGGCGTGCGTCTTGGTGGCGGACGGCGGCAACGTGCGGCAATGTCACGATTGGTTGTGCGCGGCGATTGGAGACCGAGGGCCATGTCGCAGGAGGCCCAACTGGCCGACGCCATGGACACGGACAGCGGGGAGAGCGCGTCTGGGCCGTTGCGCCGCACGGAGGCGGCGGAGTTGCGAGGGGCCCAGAGCGGCCGCAGCACCGCACCGGGTCGCATGAGGTTGAGTCAGCATCGGCCAAATCAGGCTGATTTAGGTGCGGAAAGTGTGGCTGCGAACTACAGCGGAAAAGACTCGAAAATTCTGCTGTCACGTGATGCCGAGAGGGGCGCTATGGTGCATGCTGTCGCTGACGCAGCACCCAGTGACACCGGACGCAGTGTCGCAGCACCGTACAGTACTGCAATTCGCAGGGTGGTGACAGTGGGTGGGACTACACCACCCGGGACCGCATTTTCTCGCGTTTCTCGACTTTGGCGGACAAGGGAAACTACAACCAAAAGGAAATCAAGTCGAGAGAGGCGTTCCCCATCAAGGGAATTGGCCAGGACAGCGGCGACCATGCAATCCGCCATTAAGGGAGTGGAAAAACAAGTTCAAGAATTGTCAATTGCCAAGTCCCAGGATGTGCAACAGGTCCGGGAGGCAACCCAGCGATCATTGACTGACTTGCAGTCAGTCGTGAACGCCGCCGGCACCCATCGACAAGTTTTGGAGTAGAACATGGAGGCGTTGAGAGCGAATCAACATCAACAAGTTGCATCAGTTTCGAGTCTACGACAGGCGGTCAGTCAGACGCGCTTTGAAGCCACTGCAATGAATGTGGCTCAAGGATTGGCGACCAAGACGGATCAAGCTGGAATGGCGCAAGCCATCGAGAGCATCTGATTAGACAGCAGAGTGACCTATCCGCAATAGTTAACCAGCTGAAATCTGAGCTGGAAACACTGAAAACGGACACTCAGGTCAAAGACGCATAGATAGAGGGATTACAGGCGTCATTGGAGGAGAGCCAAACAGCCATGGTAGAACTACAGAGCTACATTGAGGCCGTTGAGGCTGCAGCCTTCCCTGACGACATGCCTATAGATGCTGACAACACTGTGCGCATATCCGACATTGCAGCACCCGCGACTGATGAACTGGGGTTGCCAATTCTGCCTCCAATGAAGGTAGAATATCGCATGGATGTGGCAACACCCCCATTTGTGGACTGGACGAAGTCTATGACGCCTGCCATTCCGGTATCGAGACCAGAACTACCGCAGCAGCCTTTCATTCCCCCGACTCCACCAGTTTTTCCAAGACCTGCTCTACGCCAAGGCTACCATCCATTTTTTGCGGATCCTACTGGACCGCCAATTCAGGTCAAGCCAAGGGAACCAGTCCCCTTCAAAGGAGAGCTGAACGAGGACGTTACTGCTTGGTTCTCAATGGTGAGAGATTATGTCCATTTGATAGGAATCAATGAGGCCCAGAGCGTCGCCTATACGGTGACGTTGCTATAGGGAACAGCTAGGATTTGGTGGGACAGTTATCTGCATTCTACAGGAGGACGAAGACCTGTGACTCTGCTCGAGCTGGAAGGCTTACTCACCAACCGTTTTCAGTCCCCTCTGCATGAGAGGAATGCCAGGGTCAAACTCTGGAACTTGACCCAGGGGCACGGTGAGCCAGTACACTCCTTTGCTTCCAGATTTCAGAATTTGCTCATGCGACTTCAGACATACGGCCCCACTGACATACTCGAGCGATTTGTTCGTGCTCTTCATCCAGAGTTGAGGATGCCAGTGGCTCAGAAAGAACCACAATCTTTGGACGTGGCAATCCGTTTCGCTGAGCATCTGGAGCTGTTGACAGCATCCTATGGTGTTGATAAGGGTGCTAGATTGCAGCAGCCACAGCAGGCTGGTCGTGGTAGAGGAGGTCAGCAGAGAGGTGCAGGTGGTCGACAGAGTGGACGTAGAGGACGTGGAGGACGAGGTCGAGGAATTATTGGACGAGGTGGCCAGCAGAGCATGACCAGGACCTTCGTTCCAGTGTGTCCTCACTGCCAGGGCACCAATCATCACCCAGATGATTGTCACTGGAGGAATCAGCGGAATGCGGGCCAACAACCTAGTCGAGGCAGAGGACGTGGCCGTGGAGGTAGAGGCAGAGGAAGACAGGGTGTCGCAATGGCCGTAGCATTGGAGCCAAATCTCCAAGATGGACAGCCGCAGCATGCTACATCTGGAGACCAGCCAGCACCCCCCCAGGGAAACATGTAGAGCCCCGTCTTGGGCTCCACGTGATGAGAGCTGGGCGACTCCCAATTCGCGGGACTATAAGCGGATCAAAAAGTGGAGAAAAATCTAAAGCGAAACAAAAAGAGGAATCTGATCAAAACAAGAGTCGTATGCAGAGACGATGAGAGCGACGATGACTACAAAGGGCCAGGCAGATAGCTGAGGCCGCCTCATGCGCAGAGGAAATAGGACGAATAGTCAGGGGACATCCGTCCAAGTGGCGCCACCAATCAAACAAACAAAATCGATGTCGACATCAGGTGGCGGCACGCAGGAGGTCAGAGGAATGCCGGCGAGCGGTCGAGCGATTAGCGGTGCAGGTGAGCTATGGCAGCGGAACCGTGCCAGCTCGGATTGCGCCCACCGTCGTACAGGACTGGCGCAGTATTGCTACCCTGTGCAAAGTGGGTTGTGAACATGGGAAAATTGATCCAGTGAAAGACATGCCGGACAAAAATGCGTGGGTTGCTGTGCAGCAAGACGCTGCCCCACGTGATTGTACCAACAATAGGGCAATCGACGACGGGATTTTATTGATAGTGAACAGTCAAATTTTTGGCAAGGATACACGGGCTTTGGTAGATAGTGGTGCATCAAGAAGTTTTATCAGCCCGAGTGCAGTAATCAGAGTTGGTCTTCACTGTGTGCATGACGGGTGTTTGCTTAAGTTAGCCGATGGGAAAAAGATATTATCCCAAGGCAAAGTACCGCATGCCACAGTCTGTGTAGGGTCCTCGGTGGCGAAGCTGGACTTGACCATCACCCCAATTCTGCAGGACAT